ATCAGGGAAGTGGTAAAGATTGGAATATATGGATTTAGACTGGAAAAGGGCTTTGGCTGGGGGAGAGAGGGAGTAGAGATTAGTAGTTCGGAGTAGAGGGAAGAACTGCTGGGTGAAATGCAGAAACAACTTGAGAAGATGGAACGGGAGCAGAGCAAAGGACAGTTTTGGAATTGGGCAAACCTCGTTCTCGTGCTTCCTGTCTGGGCTCACATAGAGTGAGGCCTAGTTTGAATCTGAGAACTGCTGCCTCACATTCAAGCTTGTAGGCAGAGAGGAAGGGATGAATTCTGAAGGTAGAGTGATGACCTGGATCGGTGGTTTGGAATGGATAAAGTAGTTAGTAAAAAACGAGGGGGGAGCATTAGCATCAGTGGTCGGAGCTGTAGTCAAAGGAGAGGCAGGGGTTGGAAAACCAATGAAATCAAATTTAGATTAGCTAATTGATGAAGAGGCAATCCTTTACACCCCTAAAAATATCTCTATCATTGGCCATGGCGAGCCTGAAATAAGTGGGGAAAAGAAACGGTCTACCCCTCAGGGTCCCCATAAGGGATAAGGGCTAGGCAACTATCCAAGGGAGTACAGTGCCCATTGCTCTTAGAGGCCATTCAAGACTGACACAAAGCCAGCCTTTCATCCTTTCAACATTGCTCTCAGAACTTAGAAGTGGACAGAATAAGAAAAGGAAAAGGAAAGGGGAAGAAGAAAAGATCATGCAAATTTAATTGAGATGAGGGCTGACACCCAAGGTAGGAGTGGTCTCAGTCATCGTCTCAGCACAACAGTAAATTTCTAGGCAACTTCATATAACACAAAGTTAACAGTTGTGGAGAAGACCTGCAGACCTTACTCCCAATGTACCTTTCTTGTAGTACCTTTCATTTGTACTAGAATGTACATGTAAAGAGGTCATTGCTTTCATTTTCCCAACATCATAAGGCATAGCCACAGAAAAAAATAAATATGAAATACACAAACATGTGATTTCTTTACTACAGTGATATCATCATCATCATCAAGGGGGCTGACGCCGACGGGGGCGCATAGCCGCATCCACCCTTCGCTTCCACCTACGAGGATCACTCATGGCTAGACGCCAGGCAGGGACTCGGCCCATCTCTCTTTCTTCACGGCAGGTTTGGTCGATCTGCCCAAGCCACGACTTCCTCGGTCGTCCCACAGGCCTCCTCCACCCAGGGTTGTCTCGAATAGAGACGACCTGATGGGCAGGATCATCCTGAGGAAAGCGAGCCAGGTGGCCGTATAGCCTGAGTTGGCGATCACGGATTGTGCAGATAACAGGTCCTGTGCCAGTCTCACGGTGCAACCGTTGGTTGGACACATGGTCCCGCCAACAGTACCCCATGATCTGGCGCAAGGACCTATAACAAAAGGCTTCAAGACGAGCCTCCAAGGCACAGGACAATGTCCAGGTTTCGCTACCGTATAGCAAAACTGGTATTATCAGGGCCTTGAAAACCCGTAGCTTGGTCCTTCTGCACAGGTACCGACATCTCCAAATACTCTTGTTGAGAGAGTTCATGACCCCTGCTGCCCCAATCCGTCTGCTGACTTCATGGTCTGACAGCCCAGAGTTATGAACTACACTACCAAGGTATGTAAAGCTCTCTGTGACTTCAATGTCCTCGCCGCAAGCACGTACCGACTGAACAGGTTCTCCTAACAAGTCCCCAAATTCCTGGACCTTGGTCTTGGTCCAGGAGACCTCTAGACCCAAGGGCTTCGCTTCATTGCTAAATGCATCGAGAGCCGCCACTAGGGTTTCCAAAGACTCAGATAGAATGGCAACATCATCAGCAAAGTCAAGGTCTGTAACCTTGATATTGCCCAGTGTTGCTCCACAATGACTTTGAACAATAGCTCTGCCCAGTATCCAGTCCATGCAAGTGTTGAAAAGAGTTGGTGCAAGGACACAGCCTTGCCTCACTCCTGAACTAACAGGAAAGAAGCTCGACAGGCCCCCACCACACTTTACAGCACTTTCAGTACCAGTATACAGGCTTGCTATTAGTCCATAATCCTTGTTGGAATTCCTCTCAGCCTCAGGATCTCCCAAAGTGACTCCCGATGCACCGTATCGAACGCCTTCTTGAGGTCGATGTAGGCTGCAAGCAGCCCACGCCCGAACTCACGCGGCGCTCTACAATGACTCGAAGCGCGAGGATACGGTCTATTGTTGACTTACCAGGAGTGAATCCGGATTGCTCCAGTCTCTGGTGCCTCAGTAGATGGTCTCTGATACGTCTCAGAAGGATGTGGGCGAGAACCTTGCCTGGTATACTGAGCAGTGTGATGCCTCGGTGTTGCTGCAGTCCCAACGGTCCCCCTTCCCCTTCCAGAGAGGGATGACCACACCCCTCAACAGGTCAGGAGGAACGGAACCGGACCGCCAGATGGCAGCCAGGACAGCATGTAACCCCCGTGCCATAGGTTCACCACCAGCCTTTAACAGTTCAGCTGGTATGCCGCAGATACCACTGCTTTACCACTCTTCAGCTTGGAAATCGCCCCCCTAACTTCAGTTAGGGAGGGAGGGTCCTCACTGATGGGTGGATCCGGCAGCGGGATCTCGACACTACCCGCATCCAAGTTAACTGTTGGTGGGTCAACCTGGTACAGCTGCTCAAAATACTCAGCCCAACGTTCCCGCACCGCAACAGGATCTGAAACGATCTGACCACTTACTGAGCGAACTGCTGTCACCTGTGAAGAGGGCTTGGAGTTCAGCTTTCTCAGGGCTTGGTATGCAGGACGAAGGTCATTTACTAAGAAATGGCCTTCTACCTCCTCTGCAAGACTCCTAATAAAACTGTTCCTTGTCCCTTCTTAACAGGGACCGAGTTCTGCGCACATGAGAACGGTGCAATTCCCGATCCCCTGTCAGACGAGCCGCACGACATGCATCTGTGGCTTCCAGTGTCTCCTGCGAGATGGAATTCTGTACTGCTCTCGGGCGTACACCAATCGTATCTTGAGCTGCATCAAGCGTTTCACGCTTAAAGGTATCCCACAGAAGAACAGGGTCTGTCAGACTGCCAAGCATTGCGAAACGATCAGAGATTGCCTCAGCAAACCGCGGGCACACTCCCCCTCCCTCAGCCTGTCCAAATGAAACACCTAGGGTGATCATTTGACCGCTGGGAGTTTTGAAGTGGACCCGGAGGTAGCCACAACCAATCTATGGTCAGTACCACAGAACTCAGCACTCCTGTACACCCTGCAATTCTGAAGGATCCTCCAACGAGTGCTAACGAGTATGTGGTCGATCTCCTTGGCTGCATTACCCGCATCACTGTACCATATCCAGCGATGTGGGTCTGGGCGCTGGTACCAGGAGCCAGAAATCCTCAATTTCTGGGACCTGGCAAAGTCCCGGAAAAGGAGGCTATTCTCGCTACCGGCATCAGCTCCTGAACCATGGGGACCGACAGACATCTCATAGCCAGCTCGATCACAGCCATACCGCATTGAAGTCGCCCAGAACAATGCGAATATCTCGCCGGAGACATCTGTCTACCACAGATGTAAGTTTGGCATAGAACATCTCTTTCACGTCAAGTTTACAAACATCGGTAGGAGCGTACACAGCAATAAGAGACATGAAGCCAAAAGATAGCTTCAATCTCAATACCATTATACGCTCATCAACAGGAGTAACCTCTAATACCGAGGGCTGGAGTCTGCTGGAGATGGCAATGGCTACTCCCTGGAGATGGTGGCCGTCGCTGTGGCCCGACCAGTAATAGGTGTAGCCACCTACACAGGTCATGCCGCTGCCAGGCCTCCTTACCTCCGAGAGAGCAGCCACCTCAACTCTCAGCCTCCCCAGTTCCCTCGACAGTAGAGGCAACCAATCATCCTGACGCAAAGAACGGACGTTCCAAGCCCCCACCTTGACTTCCCCCCTGAGGTTCAGCCTCTGGCAGTCGCTCCGGGTGGATGCCCCCTCTGCCACCCCCACCGACGCTGCCCCATATATAAGGGGGTGGCGGGCTACAGTGATATCACATGATGCATATCTTTTCCTTAGGAGAATAAACAAAAATAAAAGCAATTTCTTAAATTTTATAACTAGTACATCAAATATCTGTACAACATTCTATTTCAGGGGTGTAAAACATGTGGCCTGCAGCACATTTACTATTTCAGTCTTACATTTAGCTGCTTTACATTATTAATTAAGCAAGTCCTTTGTCTTTTAAGTTTATTACTTACACTCTTACATTTTTTCCCATTATTGTGTTTTTGTAATGAAATAGCCTCCTGTGTTTATATTAACCATATTGCTGTTTCACTAGGGTGAAATGTGGCCCCCTGGGGTAAATGAATTTGACAGCCCTGTTCTATTTGGTAGAAAACCCACAATGCACAAACTAGACTCCCAGATGGAATCCAGGAGGACTTCATAACTATTGTCTCGATTTTAATAAATGTAGTTTGTGCATTGTGGGTTTTTCTACCATTGTAGAACAGGTAGAGTATTCATTTTTCCATTTAACATTCTATTTGTAAAGTATATCTTGCAATCTTACATAGAGTGAAAAAAAAAAAAAAAAAAAAATCAAATTCTCAAAAATCTAGGTACACAAAAATTAATGTAAAAATATGGGTCATATAATGTTCCCATCCGCAGTGGTATATCAAAACTGAAAGTTTAATTACATACAAAAGTTAAGTTCCTTAACATGAATTTTGGTAAATCTAAAGGAACAACTAACTTCAATTGGAAAACAAATATAAAAGTTTGTGTTAATAGTATATAAATTTTAATAAAGCTAAAGAATGAATGCATATTGTTCATGAAACACCTGCATCTTACTGTTCTCTAAAAAATATTAGTAATCATAACGCTGCTGTTCATTTTGTGTTTTCCTTAAGGTCGATTGTGCACTATTTTTCAACAGAAAATCCATTATTGATTGCTTGTTGGGCAGAGTCTGGCTTTTGGAGAGATTATATTCTCTTAGGGATCGCAAATTAACTTCTGTTGCAGCAATCAGCTGTAAAAGAGAAGAAAAAAAGTGTTAAAAATATAAACAACTTGCAATTTGAATACATATCACATATCTCAATTTTGATTCATATAGTCCAGCCACTCAATTATCCATTAATATGTAGATATATACTATAGTTTCTAGTATATGAATACCAAACCTTAAATCTACATCAAGAATATACATAAAACCTACATCAGAGGATGATGCATCCTGCAGTCTGCAACTGTATTCCTTCAGCGGTTTCAAGAACAGGCTTATGATCTTTAAACCCATATCAACATCTTCCTTACTCTTCATAGTGCATGATGCCTGAAATGGTTAGTTCGCTTGGTAAGCATGTTTCTTTACTTGTAATACTAAGTCAACAATATTTCAAGTGTACACAACATACTAATGGATTTGAATTTACTTTAGTATCTTAATTGCTTAAGTACATTTACTCTTATCAAGCCCAGTTTCTAAGTTTCAAAGAAAATCAAATAAAACAACTTCTTACTGAAACTGTCAAAAACTCGAGTATACATGGAACATTTAACCAAACAAACACACACACACACAAAATAAATATATAGATAAAAATAAATACAAACCAGATGTGTCAACCAGTTTCCAACTGCACCTTGAAGAACACCTTCCTTTGAAGTCTGAGGCTTTGTATAGAGGAAATCCATTTGGCAAGCTGTACCTTGTCTCTGAAACTGACCTTGAAGAAGACCCTGAATGCTACTGAGCCTTTCCCTGGAAAGGCCAATGTGCATGTATTAATAAAAAAAACCAAATGTGTGGTGGTGAGGAACCAACACAATAATGGAAAATATAAAATACAAATTATGTACTTATGCACATGCGCAAGCAAAAAAGGCAAGGAAGAATGTTGATACAAATAAATCAATCAAACTCCTCTCATGTATGTGATTTATGAAACAAAGTACTTGTAATACCTTTCCTGATATAAATTCCCTCCTCCATGGTATGGACTCTCTGTCTTTTGGTAAATTGAGTTCTCTGTTGCCTGGCATATTGACTCTTCTCTTCTTGAATATAAACTGGCATTATGCTGATGCACTGGACTGCTGCTTCTATGAGGGAAATCATCACTCCTCTGTGTTTGATCTTTAGGAAAAGTAGATTTTTTTTTCTTAGAAACCGTAAATATCCATAACATCAACATTTGATGTAATATATGAAAACAATGGAAACACACAATCATACTTCATGAACACCTTTGGTCATGTCCTCACCTTGATAATTACAGCCATCATTGTATCCTGCCTGGTCATATGGAGGAAATGGGGAGTTCCAGTTTCTGTTCATATTTTTATCTTTATCTCTAGTTCTGCCTGTACTGTTTTTGTCTCGATCTCTACTTCCACTTCTGTTTCTGTATCTGTCTCGATCTCTGCTTCCACTTCTGTTTCTGTATCTGTCTTGATCTCTGCTTCCACTTCTGTTTCTGTATCTGTCTCTATCTCTGCTTCTACTTCTGTTTCTGTATTTTTCTCGATCTCTGCTTCCACTTCTATCTCTGTATCTGACTCCATCCCTGCTTCCACTTCTATTTCTGTATCTGTCTCGATCTCTGCTTCCACCTCTATCTCTATATCTGACTCCATCCCTACTTCCACTTCCACCTTTGTATATGTCTCTAGCTCTGCTTAATCCCCCAAATCTATCTTTGTCTCTGCTTGCACCTCTATATCTATCTCTCCCTCTGCTCATATCTCTGTATCTGTCTCTTTCTTGACTTACATCTCTGTATCTGTCCCTATTGCCAAACCTATTTCTGTCGCCGTCCCCACTTCTAAACCCTTCTCTCTCTCTGCTCCTATTTCTGTCTCTCTCTCTATCTCTGCCTCCATCTCTGTACTGGCTTCTGTCTCTCTCTTGATCTCTATTTCTATCTTCACCTCTGTACTGGCCTCTCACTCTTTCTCTATCTCTACTTCTGTCGTCTTTTCTATATCGGATTTTCTCTCTCTCTTCATCTCTTTTGTTTCTGGATAAAAATACAAGATAAGGCATGAAAAATGTCCAATCTTTTTCTAAGGGATCATATATAATTACTATTGTTTCATGCAAACTGGCATATATGTGACAACACTGCAATTACAAGCTTACTCTGTTTTTTGACATACCTGTTATTAGATTTTGTCATGTTATCCTTGCTCTTGACTTCATTACTGTTTTTCTGTTCTTGCATCTCCTGTAGGGCCAGGTTTCTTCCATCTGCGCAAATCAATGCTGAGTGGAGAGATAACAAAAATAACATTCACATACAAGACCCTTCACAATATAAATTATTCTAGAAGTCACCATAATTTTGAATGAAGGTCAAGAAGTGGTCAGTACTATATCATAAATATATTATAAACTGGATCTTGTTATAATGAGAAAATTGATGAATGGAAAAGCATTTCTCTGCCTGCTAAGGTTTAATGCATTAGAGCAGACAGCCAAGATGCACCAAAATTCATGAGTGAAGTATAATACAAGTAAAGCTGCATTTAGCATTGTGCCAGAACAGCAGACTCCCATAGTCCTTATTCTCCCCCTCTTTGCCAATAGTAGATTGGATTACAATTTAGTTCCATAGACTGTGAAACAAGAACAGGTGTATTGCATGAAGGGAGGGATACCTGCATTAGACATCTACAAAAAAAAAAAAAAAACATCAAACTACTCATTCTTCGCCTTCCAAGTATGATGCAAAAACCTGATTTCTCAACTGTCAAAGAAGAATAGGGGGAATAAGCAATATACAGGGAAGGAAAAAGAAAAAAAAAGTGCAGTGTATGAATATCATAAAAAAAGACAGAAAAAATTTAAAGACAAAGAAGAAATCTGATCTCAAACCACAGTAGGGTAGTCATGAAAACAGAAAACGGGAAAAATACATAGAATTAACTCCAGTAAAAAATTAATAAAAACATGAAATTAGCAAAAGAAATGCAAAATATAGTCAAACTAGCACATAAATAAAGTGATGTGAGAGTAAAAGCAAAGAACTGCACTAACAGAGGTATATGGTGCCTAGTCACCTATTATAACATATATGCACCTATGACCTGTGCATGTAATGTACTCTATGTAATATAATCAATATATTAGGATAAATAAAAAGATACACATGATCCTATGAAATAGATGACATATGCAGCAATAAAAAAAGAAAAAGAAAAAGAGAAAAAAGCTATATGAAATAAAACCTAAAAAGGCAAAGACAATGAAAAAAGGAAAGAACAAAGAAAAAAAAAATCCATTACTGTCTTACTGGTACATATCCTTAATAAAACTAATCCCAAGTACCTCATCAAGCAAAGAATCCAAAGCAGTTTCCTAGTCCTGTAAGCTATGTATTCCAAGAGTAAGGGACACTGGTCTTACCAGTGTTCCTATAAAGGGCCTTTGCGGGTATTAGGCAAGACTTTAAACGTTGAAGTGGCGACCCACAAACCAATCTCCTGTCAGAACATATCACAGTCCTTCCAAGTACTGGCTAGAAGCAGCCACTTGTGTAAGTACATAAGCACCTGGACCCCACTCTTATATATGACAAAGGCTGACAAAGGCAAAAAATATTTATAAAACCATTGGAATACAGACTGTGATACAAAAGGAACAACACAGAATATATTATGAAAGGACTCCCATTAACTTACTTCCCTAGATATAGGGGGTTGGTAAAGATGGTACAATGCATTTGCTCTCTTCAGTCATGCATAATGTATGCGCCTACTTGGAAGCCGGTCACGAAGGTTGGGAACTACAAGAAGAGGGGCATCTAGAGGACAGCTTAAAAAGATGTGCAATAATGTCATCTCAAAGGGCTGGATAATAACCCAAAAGACTAACAGCTTTGAGAGCACAGAGGATTGGCAAGGAGCAATTCATAATGTTGTGAATTGACTTTGTCTGTAGAGTAGAATATCAAAACAAAATCTACAACTTGAAGAAGTTAGGAGAACCTCAACTTCTATGCATATCTATCCAGTTCATCACATCTCAGGAAGAGATGAACATGTATAAGTTCACCCTTTCTGTATGTCTACTGGGAACGTCTTGAGGAAACTCTGGAGCCATCATAATGTGCAGTTACAATACAAAGTGTAGTCCACCAGGGTAGAAAAAATATGGAACATATGGTTATTTGTCTTATTTTTTCATAATCTTTAATTTTCCGTACTACAACCTGCACCGCCAGTCACAGTGGCCAGGAATATGGTGTGCAGCCTGGAAATGGCATTCTCCATGGAGCCGGCGCTTTTCCAGTCACAGCTTACACACGTTACATTCCATATTCATTTATTGATGGGAATAATAATAAAGCCATCTTCTAACTACCAAATGAATCAACTCACACTATAAGAAGTTTGTGCACTCATGGTGAGTCTTTTCCATCACCATGGCCTTCGCAGTCAATATCTTATCTCAATAATAATGTGTAGGGCGCTGATAAGCGCATAACACACATGATGGCAAATTCGCATTACCCAGCCTGCGGCCATTTTGTCTGATGATGGCATGTTCACGTCACCCAGCCCTCTACCCAGATTTTTCCACAATGGGACTGAAACATCATCCAGATCATAGGGGTTAATATAGAACAACCAAAAACACAATCCACAATCCAAAATATTAGAGTTTATAAAAAAATCACACACAAAAATCATAACACTCAGCATCCCCCATGAATAATGACAAGCAATAATCATAGGAAAAGCACAAGTAATTCCCATGAATAGCACATATGCACCCAGATGAAAACTCAAGAGGTGGCAAACACATGCTTTTAAGCCAATGGTGGAAAGTTATCTAACCTGTTCCTCCAAGGCAGCAAGTGTGGAAAAGGAGGATTGTAGGAACTAGGGAGAGTTAAAAAGACTTCTTTATTTTTCTTTGTCTTGGTGAGGCTTGTCATGCAGCTTTACTTCCATTATGTTTAACTTGGCTGAATTTTGGTCCAATCATGCCCATTGCTTGGATGCATCAGGCATTTGCATCAAACCAAACAGACAGGAAAATGCTTATATATTTCAATTGTTAAACCTCTATAATGTTACAGCAACAATAACACCTGTTTACTTGCCTTTATTCTTCTCATAAACAGCCACTCTCTGAAAAAAGAATACAGTTTCAGCTGCTAATAACATTTTTAGCAAAATGTACATTAAGAACAGCAACTTGTCTTGCAGTTTACTTACTTTACATATTTATGCATTAATACAGGGGAGAAAAAATCAATCTATTATATTCAGGAAAAAAAAGACAGATATTGAAATAAACAGCACTGAAAACTCAATGCTTGAGCTTTATTTTGTTGTATATTTATTTATTTATTATTATTATTATTTTTTTGAAAAATAAATAATATTATAAAATAATAACAAATGATATTTTATGTTCTAAATTTTGAAACCTCTCCACAAGAGCAATTAAACCATTTTTTTTGTGCGTGTGTGTGGGGGGGGTATGAAAAATGTAGAGCCACATGTTTTGAATGTCAAAATATCTAAAATATGAACATGTACAGCCATTTCCCCCAAAAATCATATTTTTCTCTTTTACAAAAACTAGAACTATTTTCATATTCAGGTACTTGCCAGTAATGAGTTATCCACTCTATATATACAACAAATCTAAAATGTAACTTTTGAACAGTCAACTCCATCCTCTTTAGGGTTAGCTCAAGATTTTTTTTTTCTTTATAAGTACAGCACTTTACTAATCTACCATCCTAACAAATTTCATTTCAATTATCTCAAACCAGCTAATTTTGATGCTAGTGAATTGCAAAACTGAAACTTCTATAAATAACTGTGTCCCCAGCAGAAAATTCTAATGATTTTGTACCAATTATTCCTTACCTTTAAATGTTTCATACCACTGACATGAAGTGCTAAGGATGGCAAGCCATTCATCTCTGATAAGCAAACCTGTAGGGAAGAAACTTTGTTAAAAATATATTATCAACACTTTTTCATCCAAGATGGTAAACAGGTGCATATCTTACAACAAAATCTGTGTAATGTTAATGGAATCACGACCAATTTTGTAAAGAGCCAAATGTGTTCCTTGAATATTCTCCTCCTTCATCATGATTCTACTTTAACACCAAATTAAATCTATCCGTACAAGTTTTCATGAAGAAAAGGCATATCAAGCATCTATATCGTCCCCATTAAAAGAGTACACTTTCCCCTATCTTGCCCACTAGATGACAAGGATGTATCCCTTTTCGACTGTTTCCTTCTGGAAAAAAGAAAAAGGTATCCTGGCTGTTCTTTCTTCACAATGTATCACACCTGTAGGCTGAGCTGTAGATCCATGAGCATGAAGACTACTCTCGTTTACTTTCTGTCCTTCCTCAAGATATCTTGGGTGATGTCCAATTTTGTAGCAGTGAGGCTCATAACAATGGAAGAGGCTTCCACTGTTATGATATAAAGATGAAATAGGCTGTGGTTCTTGAATAGATAAATTGGTCTTCGCTTCAGCATTCCCAGTTCAGAAGAGATGACTGTTGCTTGGTCAAATACTTGCATTTCCACTGAGTAAACCATAATTACTTATCTGCAACCTACTCCCAACTGTTGGACATATTTTGAGCATATTTAGCATAAGGTTGCTTAGATCTTTAACCCATTTATGCCAATGACATGTAGTCACAACACAATAAATAAGCCTAAATGCTGGGTGGTAAATATCCCAGCTACAAGATTATGCCATTGGATCTGGTTGCTTCATGGCAATCACATGGTCCAAAATACGGGCATTAGGATTACGTGAGCAGGCGCTGATAAGTGTGCAGTTTGTAGGCCAAGTGAATGCAAGACAAATTTTTTTTTGGTATGATTCCAAATTGCAGGGGTCAATCATACTCTAATTTTTGAGTATAATAAAAACGTACTAGGCAGCTGATCACTTGTTTGACAATGACAGCATTCAATGCTGAGATACAATATTCAAATGAAAGCCCATTTTCATTGCATTTCCTAAAAAATCGTGTATACCAAAGCTAAAAGGGCAGAGAGCAAGGTAAATGAAAATGGTTTAAAACCTTTAATAATAATGCATTCTCCCTCTTGACTGATTTTAGCTTTGTCTCATTGGTGTGATATGATAGAAACAATTATATGAAGTGATAAACCAGAATGCAAATTTAGAAGGATGTGATTGTAACTCAAAAGATTACTAATTTTAATAGCAGTATGATATTAAACCTAGAATTTAATCTTGGATCTTGCATTGCAGAAAAACACATTGCATATTTGACAATACTACTGCTTTCCAGCAAAAGCTTAATCTGATGTTACCAACATTTATGGTAATGCAAGCGTTATAAGAACTTTCATCACTTACATAAAGGTGGAAAGAACTTTTCCTCATACATCCATTACTTTCCAATGGCAGTACCACTTGTGCTATATTACTTGAGGGTAAAGAAACAATGTATTTTGATATCATAATTAAATACTCTTATTAATCTAAATACTAATCAACATTAAGAGATATATATCAGACCTAATCTGAAATTAAATGTCTTTTATAATAGATTACCTACCTCATGTACACCCACGCCCACACATGTATACATACATGCATGCTCACAAATGTATGCACACAGGCACACATGAACGCACCCACACCCGCACACACCCTCGTACACACGTGCACACACACACACACAAAAAGCACACACTCTCTCTTTCTCTTTCTCGCTCTCTCTTGCGCTCTTACTCTCGCTCTCTCTCACTCTCTCTCTCTCACGTATATTCATGTATACCACACACATGAAAAAACAACAATTCACAATTATGAAAATAACAATAAACTTATTTCAATTGTAATATAAAAAGTTGTAAAGATTTTCTAGGTCACTGAAGGAGCTACAGGATCTACCTTACCAGCCTTTGAACTCATACCTCACACAGGAAAAATCCAGATAATGTGACTTTAATATAGGATCCATATTCGTCAGCTGAAAGAAAAAAGAAAAAAAAAGTTACTTGCTAAGAATATTAATTTGGAATATTAGAATCAATAATGCACATAAAAGGAATGAACTGGGGAGGGGTAACAAAAATGATAACACAAGTAGACAATATGAGTACTAGATAAACTAAAAGTAAAATATTAAAATGATTTTAAAAATAATTGTAGATCATTAAAGCATGGACAGTTCCTGAGCTAGAAGTTTTACATTCAAACAAAAATAATCTCCTAAATATTAGAAGGGCAGACTGGTGCTTCTTTACCCACACCCCCCGTGACTCCATACCTTGCCGCAGTATAATTATGGTTTAGGTTAGTGATTCTTAGCCTTTTTAGAATCCCTGAGCCCTTTCAGAATCTGGTGAAAGCAATAGACCTCCACATTTACATAAACCCAACTTTGCAAGCAATGCATATAATGTACTTAAATTATTGAGCTTTGATTGTCTCATATATATATATATATATGAGATACACAAAGTATCATCAAAATTCAAAGTAGACAATCCAACAATAAAAACATACTAATATCAATACTGATCTTTATTTGATCTTCATTGACCACCTGAAACCCTTCCCTGGATCCCAGGTTAAGAATCCTCGGCCTAGATTTTACAAAACAAGTTCTAAAAGGCATCTACCTTATCTGAAAAGCCCAGAGGTGGATTTCAATTGTTTAACAATATATATTGTAAGAGTTTGTGATCCATTGTTCAAAGGGAGTCAAGGCAAAGTTTTATGAATGGACTTGGAAGGCTGAACTTACTACTAGAATCTTTGCTCAAAAAGAGAAAAATATGTGAACCATCAACCTGTTTGTTGCCTTCATAATAACAAAGATGATGATAATATAGGTAACAATATCAATAATAATAATATATTAATAACAACAACAATAATAATGCTGCTAACATTACAATTAAGATCACTATCATTATCATAATTACTATTGCTACTGTCATCCTCATTATTACCATTATTACTATATTCTTCTTACTATTACTTTTACATTATCAATCATTGTTCTCCGAGAAACAAACATTCAAGCCTTACCTATGCTTTCATTTTTATCCTTCACTGAATCATTTTCTTCTTTCTGGCAGATTACACTCTTGGAATCACTAGCAGTTTCTTCTAAATTGCTATCATCAGTTTTGGTCTCCTTTGCTGCCTGATCTTCCACTTGTTCCTTATCCTCCATCAAGGATTTCTGCCCGACTGGTGTGCTTACATCAGCAGCAGCTTCATTAATACCTATGCAATGTCAGAGAGGTTCATATTCTCATGCAACGTGACACGTGACCTACAAGCTCCTCCATATCAGCAATCACCAGATGACATGATGACAACTAAATATTTTCATTGTTTGTTTAAAGTCTTTTTCTCCCTTTCTGCTTATGGACATAAATGAGAAATTAAGAGAAAATGTATTGCTGGATGTTTATGCACATATCCAGAAGCCACTGGTAAAAACAAGAATTATTCTAACACAGTCTACCTAACTATTGGCAGTTAATGTAGCTGCTGCTGATTTTAATCTGAAGAAATTTTAGAAAAAAATCTTTATATATCTTTTCCTATCCAAAGCTAATTAAATTACATATATTTGAAATATGGCATAGATCATCCTTATTCTGATACTGGTACCACCATCTTCAAAGTATATTCAAAGTGTCATTTATATAACTCCTTTCAAGGGCACTGCTCCATTTGGAAGATTCAGCTCAGCTCACACCAGTTCTAGTTTTCTGTAGCTGAAGTATTCTGTGCTATCCAGATCCCTGTCTCTTTTTTCTGATATTGCCTTTGAGTTCTTGAATTCAAAGAAGTGCTGAATCTCCTTTCAACTGCCTGTGTATTATGTTTTCTTTCTAATCCTGATCAAGATAGATCAGCATTAGGAAGAAGGAAGGAATGTTGATTGAAGATCTTTTTGAGGTTTTCTTTTACTTTTTCAATAGTATTAGTTGAGGATACATAGTGAAGCATTAGAAGTTTCTAGTATAAAAAAAATTATTGTTGGGAAAAGCAACATAATTCTTTTTCTTTTTATCTCTGAAGAGCCCTATAAAGCTGATACTTATAAAACAAGATCTTGGTTGGGTCAGGTATGACTAAAATTGGAAGTGTCTGGGTAGCTCAGAGGTAACAGATCTTCCATTCAGTTGCTAGATGTTATCATTCCTGGGATGAGCACAGGATGGAGAATAGGGTTATCTGCCACGGACCTTCTGTTTACTGTAGTTTGAGTCATGGATATATTGATCCCACTGGAGTGAAGAAGGGCTTTAGGCTGTATACCCTACTATGATCTGTGTTTAATGCTTGCACTATCACTTCAGTCTCTCACTCATTGGTAGCCTTTAAATCTTTAAAATCAACAGCATTTATTTCAAGATATTAGCAACTTGTTCATACTACTCCATCTCTTCTTTGTATCCTAGAATACAATTGAAATATTTCTTGATGCTTCAACAATATCTGATAAATTAAATGTCTCTTACTGAAATGTACTTGCATTCATGCATGCAAACATAAGTCTCACTGCCGGATCTAGAAAAATGGGATATCAAATATGGCAAAATTAGGAAAACATCTTACATAGATCAATACCTAATACCTGAAGACACTGCTGGAACCAAAGCTACATTCTACAGGATTTACCCACAAGCTAAATCAGATGTTTGTTGACATTGAAGAACATGTGATTCTGAGTAGAAAATATTCAAACACATGTTTTTTTTTAATACCTTCAGTGATGTGGAATTTCAAAATTACACACAGTAAGTGTCTCTGAAATGGTGCAGTTGGATAGGAAGGAGAGGACAGAGACCAATAACAATGGGAAGAATATGTAAATGGCAAGGATGTGTTTCCACTTGTGTGTGGACTCATCATGTGATGGGATGTTCCTCCTTTGCTAATGGTTATGCATTCAGTTGCACCTTGGAGAGATTATAGGGTTTTTACTTTGGAATTTTTATCCTATTCAGGGAATATTTCAGCATCTTTATAAATGAAATCAAACTAATGGTAAACATAAGGTAATTCCCCAATAGGATAACAAGAGGACTGTAACAGTCAATAAAAGTAAATTATAGTGTGGCAACATTTACTTTCTGTAGCCTGTGTCAACACCTGTTCTTGCCTCAACTTCACCATCTATACTTCAGATTTAGTGCCATTTTAATACTTAATACTTTAATACTTAATCTGGAAAAAGCAGTGCAGATTTTCTACTCAGAACCATTCAATCACCTCAACAAATATTTAACCTAACATTCTGATCTCTAAAGATCTATAATTCATAGATGGTATAACAAGAATAGAGTCTGCTTAGCTATGAATACCACTGTCTCTAGTATGGACTAAAGGCAGGTTTACTACCTACAAGACCTCAGATCTTACAAATATAATCAAAACCTAACTCTGCTTAAAAAGAAAAGAAAGACAAAAAACACAGCAGACAGCTGATCATTTCCAGATGAGAGCCAACATTCAAAGACAAATTTCTAAAGCACAAAATGAGAAAAGAAATTTATATAATGCTGAGAATAAATAAACTGAAGTGAATGAATTTGGACTGCATTTATCACTTGATATTCCATAAAAAATACAGAAAAACATTGACATATAAATAAAGCCTGGACTAATTGTGGCACAGCAAAAAAAAAAAATCATACTAAATCTACAAGCAGGTAAGTGGGGAGAACATTATGCACATAATGTTATAGTATCATGCATTACTGTAATTGGTATGCTTTGCTTTTCCAGCTTTGGGACAAGATTTTTCACTTGAAGTATAAAATAGTCTCTTACCATCAGTGCCTGTGCTGTCATTCTTGTCTGAACTGTTGCCATGGGAATGCTGACCTGGAAATTTTCAAATAAGAGGTTTGAAGAATTGAAAACCCTATTTTTATGATGTACAGTGGGGGTGTAGAATGCTTAATGCCATTCTAGTTGGCACATAAAAGTACTTCCTACAAAATGAGAGACAAAAAAATTCTCCTAAATACAGGGCACACCTCTATATTCGTCACATAACAATAGAGCTAATGCACCCTGAAAACACTCAATGTGCCATCTACCCTCCAACTCGGATAATTAGAACATATAAAGCAATTTCAAATACCATATATGTTTTCTTTTTACCAGGTGGGAGGGAACCACTGCACATTATAAAAATAAGGTTTCCAATTCTTCAAACCTCTTATGACTAATGCAGTGAGGGTGTAGAATGCTTGCCTAAAATGTAACTACAGAAGGGATTAAAAAGAAAACTATTTATCCATCTACCTAAGATAAAATACAAGTAAAAATATTGATCTGACTATGAGGTCATTAAAGATTCACACCTCAATATTTGTCTTGGTTGTTTAACATCTGTTCATAACCTAATAAAAGGGTAGGGGAGGGGGGGAAAGGAATATAATATGAAATAAGACAAGGAATGGGGATACTCCAACATAAGGATAAGTTCAGAG